AAAAAAAAAAAAAAAAGGATAAAATCCATAAGTATTGATTGAGACATTCAGTAAAAAAAATAAGCTTATCAAAGATTAAAATTTTAAAAATAAATATTTAATTAAATTAACACCAAGTATAGATATATTTTTATAGAGAAAAATCCTTCATTAACTCAAAACTATCTATGTTAAATTTAAATTTAATATTTAATAAAAAATATATTTAACACCTAAAATATGTGAATTGGTCTGTTTTCAAGGTTTCCAAATAAACTATGTTTAATTTAACAAACTACTTGTAAAGAAACTATGTCAATCTATTATGTTTTATAGGCTTCAAAAAGTTGTTTAAATATAAAATAATAATTAAATCATTATAATTATTAATGTGATTACTTCATTCTAAGCTAGATTTCTATGAACCTGCAATATCATTTCAACACATTCTTCATACAAAGAAAAAGGCCTCTTAACATTTTCATACAATAATTTTAAAAAATTTTGAAGATATTGTAAGTGAAATTTGTAATCTTCAGGCTTGATAAATTCTTTAAATTTTGCAAATTTGATACATTCGTCTGTTATTGCGTTAACACAACTTGAATTAAGAATATTTCTAAATACATTGATAAAAAAAAATTAATATCACTAAGTTTTAAAATTAAAAAAATACTTTGTCAGGAACTTTTTTAAGACAAGAATACTTACAATGATGAAATTCTATTGGGTGTAAATCGAGCTATTGGCCAATTTTCTTCACACGGTTGACACTTGCAAATAAATTTATATTGTTCTTTCAGAATTTTCTTTCTATAATCTTTTTTATTTGTAGTAAAATGAATTCCATAAGAAACAAATAACTGTTAAAATTATAGATATATACATATGAAATATACAAAACATATTATATATTAAAAAAGTTTTGATTACTTGTTTCCCTTTAGGTATAGGTTGTATAGCTTTGTATACAATGTTTTTGTTTTCATATCCATTACATAGTAATATGTTAGGATCACAGGAATGATTGAATAATCCAAAAGTTGGATCTAATGTTCCAGTCATAAGAGGTTTAAATAGGCTATCTTTAGGTGATAAGGGAATTATGAAATTACGTGATTTGAAACAGTTTAAATCTAAAACACAGAGCATATGTACCAATGAAGCTCCAACAGTAGCTTTGTGATGGTCATAAATTTCAAAGCCTCCTAAAGACATATAATTAAGTATTTCAACAGCTATACAATTGAAGAAAAATTTGACATCTAAAGATATTTTATCATCATTTATTGCCATTGAATAAGCTGTACAAAAATCGTTTGAATTGAAAAAACCATTTCTATCAAATTCTTTGGTTAATAAATTTACTGAAAAAGTATTTAATGAACGCACTTTATTGCAATAATTATCTATGCCAAATTTGATTATTTCTTTAGTAAACCATTTTACAGTTAGCCGATTAATTAATGGAATCCCAGGTAACTTATTAATATAATATAAAATTGGACACTCTAAGAAATGATCTTCTTCATGACTCTTTTGCATACATTCATCATCACAATAAATTGCCTAAAAATGATATAATTCATATAGTTAAAATTTTAGTACATACAATTTTAAAATTAAGTTTCTACAATACTTTAATAATTAACCTTAAGTATCGTAGATATAAGAATAATAGAAACTGTCATATTAAGATTTTTTATAATGTATATAACTATTTCATGAATTAATCAATATATTATTCTATTTAAATAAAAAATATATATACAGTAGACTCTTAGTAGTTATGACCAAGCATAGTCTAGTACACCTACTCATCCCGCCCATTTTTTTGTTATAATAGTGATATAAGTACAATAGAATAGGATAAAGTTCTGTACAAATGGAGCATTTGCTCTATTTAAACCTATGAATAGTAAATACCATCTGGGATTTACACCTAGGTAAATAGGACAATATATGGTCCTGCATGTAATGCCCCATAAAAACTTAAAAATATACATAATATGATTATGTGATTTTAAGTAAACTTCCAATAGTCCTATGTTTTCACTAAACAGGTAATATTGTGATATGATCTTTGCCAGATTATTAAGTGTCTACTGTTTCTAAATACTCACCAAAGAGCATTTTGCACATGGTATGGCAGCTAAACATTTTTTCATACAATTATTATAACAACAAATAAATGTAGAATCCATAGAAAATCCACATATATAAGGTTTATCAATTGCTACAATGTCACCTTAAAATATTAAAACATATATGTTTAAGTATTATATTAAAGCATTATGGTAGAAATAATAAGTACAATTTAAAAAGCAATTATCATGAAATTAGAAATATTATTTATAGGTTTAATTGTTATTTTAATAATAAATACCAGGATTAATATTACAAGTAGCATACAATCCTTGACCAAAATCATCTGAATATCTCAATTCTATAAACTTCGATAATGAAGAAATACTATCATGTTTTCCACCAACTATTTCTTCTTTGGTCCTTTGTTCATTAATAACATGTTGATGTTCAATGAGGCCATCACATTTTTCTAAATTGTCTTCAATGCATTTTTTTATTTTTGTTTTTATATCATTAGAAATAGAAGCTTTATCCAAAAATTTGAGGCACTTTTTATAGTTATTTTTAGCTCTTTCACTATTTCCTAATAAGCGTTCAGCATTACCAGCTCTCTCATATAATTTATAAAATAGTTTTGTTGGATAATTAAACTGTAAAGCTCGATGTATGTCATTTAAACACAATTGGTATTCTTTAAGATGAAAGAGAGCAGCAGATCTATTAGCTAGAGCAAAAGAATAACATTCAGTATTATTTTTAGATAATATAATACTCTTTGTATAACAATTTAAAGATTTTAAATATTCTTTTAATCTAAATAGCTCATTGCCCAAACCGCGATTATCTTGTGCATTAATAATATTACTGTCAGATAGCCGATGTTTACAACTTTCTAGTTTAGAGGGAAACATTCCATTTCGTTTCATGATATCCAGTGTATACATAAATTTTTCTTCGTCATTTTCAGCATTACTAAATCCTACATAAACATCGCCTAGTAAATTCTCATCTACTAATATATCCGAGTAATAAAAAAAATCATTATATGAATTCATATTACACACACGATTTCAAATGTACTATATTTAACATATAAAATAAAACTATAACAAAAGTTAAATTTTCGAAAGAATCAATCGCTATAAAATCTTCAATAACACGTTATTAAATATGTTAAATATTAAATATATTTTTTGGACATTAAATGATTTATGCAGTTGCATCGGATACTATTTAAGTATCCAGTTGTCAATGATACCAACATAATAAGGACTTGAACAATGGTTTAAAAATCGTTAAAAAAATAAATCACTTCCTTATAAAAGTAACAAATTGTTTTGGCAATTATACAGTTATATTATATTTTATATAATGAACACTACTAACGAACACATTTTTTAACTAATAAATTGTATAATCTGATTGTAAGAAGTTGTAGTTAGTAGTTTTTATTTCAAAGAAAATATTTAAATTGAGTCGTACTGCAATATTATACTGATTGATAAAATACCATTAATTGTTCATTTAATGACAATTTCTAATTTTCAACTAATAATAATATTGTAAATCTATACTAACTGAGTGCAACATCAATATATAAATTTCTTATTAATCGAAAAAATTCATTTATGGATGCAATTTAAATTAAATGTTGAAGGAATCTAACTTATTTTTTTCTATTTAAAACTATTTTTACATAAATTTACATTTAATATATATCATTGGACGACTGAGGCTCCTCAGGTGTTGCCTATCACTTCTTTCACTATTGAAGTCACTATATATGTTGCAGAATATATTATATATTGTAATTAAACTACAATTGTCTCACTCTTTTAGTTAATAAATTATAAGTATGAGGTATATATAACAGCGAAAATAGTAAATAAACTGTAAAATTATATGGAGCTCTTATGACTGATCTACGAGTACACTTGTCAATTCATTATTTATAATTTATAAATAATTATTTAATGGCTATTTATTAAATTATTGAATAACTTTAAGGGTTGAAACCAACATGTCAATTCAAGAACAATAGCCCATTTCTTATTTAATATTGGGATACAAAAGGAAAATGTCATTAACTACAATATATTATATTTTAGGGATGTTTCTTATATTTTTAAAACTTCTGCTAGCCATTTTCTAAAATACTAGATTTGAAAATTAAAAATGAAAGTTTTAATCAGTGATTACATTTTAACCATTAACCTTAATAATTAATTATTACTTAAAAAAATACTTTAAATATAACAAATAAAAAGTTGTGTCAATTATACGTTGAGAGCATTTGTATTTTACAATATTTAAAATCCGTCTAAAGATTTTTTCATCTCTCTAATTAAAGCCATAGTTTTATTGAAAAATTATTCATGTATATGTAAATATAGTTTGAATTTTTAATAAATGTAATGATTATTTAGTCCATATAAAACTATTCTAAATAGGAATGTTTCATGCATCCAAAAATAATTTAGTATTTTAACAATATTCTAGATAATTTTTGGTTTGTAAAAATTTCAATTTCCTTATGAAATAACTAATACAATCATTAGAAAAATTATAAGTAAATATGAAATATTAGATCAAAAAATAATAGCTAATATAATGTTTTAAATTTTATAATTTATTATTGATTAATTTTGTTAACAATTTAATGTTATATCTTAATATTATAAACAATTTGTAAGCTTAACAAACAATTTGTTCAATAACAAGATAAATGACTAAAAATAAAGTACATTAAATAACACTATAAAAAATTTAATTGGAAACGGAATGTTCAATTATAAATTAATAAGAATCAAATTTAAGTACATAAATCATTTTTTTAAATATAATCACAGTTAGGAATATTAAAAACAAGTTATAAAAGAATTAGGTGACAAGGTTATTTTACTATTAACTAAGCGTTTATTTTAATATTAAGTATCTTAAAAATGTACTTATGTTAACTAAATTGTACATTTAAAATTTACCATATAGTAAAAAAATTTTTAAAATAAGTGGACCCTGATAATTCAATAGACTGTTAGACCCCGTAAATGAAATTGACAAACAAGAAAAATTTTTGTATAGATGAAACAAATCAAAAACGATAACTTATTAAAATATCTCATTTGGAACATTTGATACAAAAATATAATTAATTTTTCATTATTTATCAAATTTAAGTAAAACAAGAAATTTAAAAATAGCTGCTATTTCTTTCTGTCATATTTTAAATTAAATTTGGACATAGATTTAATGTAATATGTTAAAAAGAATATTATTTTTAAGTCATTTAAAAACATTTAGTATTGTAGAAAATAAATATAATCATAGGTAACTAAATAAGGTTATAAAATTGATCACCTTTTATATTAAAAAAAAAAAATACCAATGTAAAAAAACTGAGTTAACAATTATACAATTAACAGTAAACATTTATTGTAATAGAAACACTTTTTATTGCTTAACTTTGTATTCAAGAATTTTATTTTTTTAAACCCAGAATTCTTTCAGCTACACCTAAATAATAGACAGTTTGGGCTATACCAAAAAGAGGTGCTATCACAATCATACGACATGCTCCACCTTTAAAAAAAGCCAGAGGACCTTCATTACGTAATGTTTTCCTAAAAATTAATATATTGATTATTATAATTTTATTTAGACTTAATTTATTAAAAAATAGAAAACTTACAAGAAACAATCAGTCACTCCTTTGTATTCCACTTCTGTTTCAATTTTTTTAATAGCTTGTAATCTTGTTTTTATAACATCAATAGGATTAACAAATAAAGCAGCAGAAGAACCTGCTATACAACCAGATACAAAAGAACACCAAAAAACAGCTTCTCCTAATATTTAAATTTGACAAATGTTAAATTTTTTAATTATAGGGAAAAATTTATATTTAACCTGATTCGTCTTTTTTACGTGGTCCCAAAGCGTTTAATCTAGCAAACATAGGGAAATATATAACAGAAAATGTAACATCTCGCATTGCTGTTGCTCCAACACCTCTATACAAACCAAAAAATCCTTTAGTTTTTATTAATTCTCGAGCTAATGATGTGGCTGAAACTTTTGGTACAGTTTTTCCATCTAATAACCAATAAATAAAAATCTAATAATGATTCAAAATATCAAATACACTTAATAAGAGACTTAGAACAGTCCAATTAAAATAAAAACTGTGTTATTATTTCAACTCTACAATAACCATTTATTATAAAATTGAATAGGAGATATATCATACTACATTGATTTGTACATTATTTTATGAATAAAACTAGTTAACAATAAAATTTATCTATGATATAACAGTCTAGATAGATTTTTTTATGTAAAATCTTGTGCAGAGTTTGAAAATGAGATAAAAAATTCCAAAAGTTAAACAGTTTTTGAGTAATTTTTAAATTAGTATTTGTATGTCCTAAAAAACTATTTTCATTATACTGCAAATATTTTTAGTTAACATTCACTGATTTTTAAATTTTTACATAAAATTTAATAATAGAAAATGTATATAAATTTTGTGTTAAAACTTTTTGATAAGACATTTTACTGATTTACTATTTATGAATTCACCAGTTCTGGTTATACCTAGTTGAGGACCCCCAATTATAGTAATATATCTAAACTAATTTAAGTTATTTTACCAATTAGTGAATACAGAACTAGGTTCATTTTATTTGTTGGTTCACTGCCAAATTTTTATAATTTTTTTGTGAAATATCAGAAAAATTTTTTATTTTTACATAAAATAAATCAATAACAAAAAAATATTTCATCAACAATAATTTCACTGGATAAGTTTTTTAACATTAAATACAAAATATATTAGTTATGAACGATTGAAAAAAAATAAATAGATTTCCCAATATTTAAAGTTTTTATAATACAATAATTAAATTTTGTAATATAGTGGTTTAATTGGATTGAGTACGCAGTAAATTCATAATATTAAATGTGCTAAAGGTCAAATTAAAAAATGTTTAATTAAAAGTTATAGATAATATAATATTCTTAGATTTTGTATAAAAAATTAAAAAATCAGTAATTTACTATATAATGAAAATACTTTTTTTGGATTCACAAATAAATGCTAATTTTGCTATAACTCAAAAACTGTTCTACTATTGGCATTTTTGATCATATTATCAAATAGTCATAAGATTTACATATAAAATTGCTATCACATAACATAGGTTAGAAAATTATTTATATTAGTTAACTAATGTAATTAATTAATATTAACTGTATTATTAAATAGCATATTTAATGTATTTTATTTCATAAAAATAATTATTATATTCTATGCTATTTTCAGTTGTAAATATGCTTTATGTATAAAATACTATAAGTGATTGTAATTTTAGTAGTATATAATATTTTCTTAAGAAGCATATACACTTTTTTCCAGCCCCAGACAAAATGGAGTCACTAAAATTTTATTAGAATATTTTAAAAATTTATCACACCAAGTATGATCTATTCTAAAAAGTAAATCCAGACAAAATTTTTAATTATAATTTTAATAATACCTAATTTGGCCTGAGCTGCAACCCGCCCTGCATCTTGCATTTGTATTTTTAAAAGTTCCATTGGAGTAGTAACAATTATTTGGAAAAGTCCAGCCCCAGCACCAGCTAACATTTCATGAATTAATGTTAAAGGCTTCCTTAATCATAAATATTTATTTTTAAAATACATTTAAATGCTTTTAGAACAATAGATTATACCCAGGTTGAGTTAACCAAAATCGAAATTGATCATTAGCAGCTAATTTAATTGCTTTTTCAGGTGTTATTAACAAAATGTTAACAGCAGATCCTCTATACATTCCAAAATACCCTTCTGAAACATATGTTTTTTTAAAGGCATCAAACCTAAAACCCCAATTAAAATAAAAATATAAATTTAAATTTATATAAAGTTAAATAAAATTATATTACATTGATTTGTACATAAACGATCCATCTTTGCTTGGTTTTTGATTTTGTAATCTTGTTTTTACAAGATCTAATGGAAAAACTACTGTCACTCCAATAATTCCAGCAATACCTCCATTTATAATTTTTGGCAGTAAACTAATAAAAAAAAACTTTTATTAAGTATTCAAACACAAACATTTGATTTTTTTCAACAATTGATAATTCAATTATTGAATAATATTAAATGTATAATAATTATTATAAATTATTTATTTAATAGTACAAAATAGTAAATTTTCAAATTTTAGTAAAAATATATACAGAGTGATTCCTTAACTACCAGTCATTACATGTAAATATTAATTAAAAATATAATTAGGTTCAAAAATCTTCTGTATAATACCATTTAATAAAATTTGTATTGTTTTTTTATTTTACAATTAGGCAGAACAGTTCTATTTAACTATTAATATTAAATTAAAAGTTAATATTTATTTATAGTTTGACTTTTCACTTTATTTAAGTATCACTGATGTCCAGAGACAAAAAAATAGATTATTGCAGGTGATGGGATTGAATACATACCTCTTAACCATCCCAATTTCTTAAAATAATTTGATTATAAATTAAAAAATTTCCCTGCTAATATCCCTTTCATTTTAAATGCATTAATTAATATGCATAAAATTATGTTTACTCCATTAAAGTTATTAGAGAGACTATGTCAATTTTTGCCAATTTAATTAAATTACAAGAACATTAGTTATATTTGAATGTATTTTATCTGCTAATTCTGCTGAGTTCTGTAAAAGAAATAATAAAAACTAATTAATTTATTAAGTCTTATGGTGATTATTATGAATTGACCACCTATTGTAAAATTAATTTTAATAATTACCTAAAAGTATCAATTTCTTTTTCATTTTTTGATAATTTAAGTCATAACAAATTTTATCAAATAAAAAAAACAAGAGTTAAGTTAGAGGTTTCTTTACATGAGTTTTTAATAATCTTTATTAGTATTATAAAAATTTAGAATCCCAAATTCAGACTTAGACATTTTAATGATTTCTATGTATATCCTAAAAATTAAGTACATTATTAATAATCAGAGCTGTGAATTATATGCATTTATAAATTTTGTTAGCCCAATACACCATCAGTAAGTACAAATTTTTATTGATTAATTAAAAAAATGAATATGTTTACTTTTTCAATATTATAGTTTTGGGGTGATTAGGGAGTTAATTCTGTCCTAAAATAAAAAATAATTCTTTGTTACTATTTGATTTTACAACAAAGTTGCATAAACTTGGGACCCTTGTTAATATTTAAATTATTTAAGATTTAGAAAATTATATGTTCCATTGTATACTAACAGAATGTTTAATGCATTGATTTTTGTAAATACATAAATTATATTTACTTACCAGAAATAATATTTTTTAACTAGAGATAAATTATCACAAATAACATTTTTTTTTTTTTTTTTAAGTCTATTAATTTACAAAAAAAATATGACTTTATATATTTTACCACTGGTGTATATCTATACACCAGTAGTAATATGAATATGTATAAAACCACAACACTTTTTTTTTAATTGGCTATTATTCATACTATAAGTTCAGAGTTCACTTTAATGTATAGTTAAAAAATTGTATTAATGTTAAAAAAATTAAATAATAATTAGGTATAATATTTTTAAAGATATTTCATAAGGTATAATTAAGGAATCATTCTGTATATATATATATTAACTATTTAATAAATTTATTCTAGCTTTTTACAAAAATTTAAAGATACTCACGCAAATTTATTACTAGGCATCAATGATTTTCTAATAACAGAAACAACATGACATTACATTATATGTTAAACAGTTTTACTATAATATTAATACAGAGTGAATCATAATCCATTGGATAACTCATAAAATACTAATAATTTTGAGAATTTTTATATTATTCAGTTACATATAATTTCTGATTTATACAATATTAAGTATTTTTTTGTTCATTCCTTATGGGTTATTGGGGTATCAACTCTTTTTTTTAATGGAAACATTTAAAATTAAAAAGTCTAAAATATCTAAGATATCTCGGTAGTAAATACCATTGTTCAGGATTGTTAACAATCTATAATTATAATCAAAAAATGAAAACTTTAATATATTATATCAAATCAATTAACAATTATTAAAAAATTCAAACATTATAAATTAAAAAATACTCTAATCAATTTTCAAAATTAAAATACATAGTTTTTAAAATTATTTATTGATGTAATATATAAGGAAACATATACATAAATAATCCCAATTTTTTCTATACCTTAAGCTATATTTTTTTAATATTTTTTTTTCTTTGTAAATAAAGTGATCAAGTATGTCATGTTTACCAAAATTTACAAAATCAATAAAATTTCATGAAAATTAACAAGATGTTAAAAATATAATTTTAAAGATGAATAATTTTATTGAATTGAATGATTTTTTTTATTACTTTCACTCATAAAATCTGCAGTGCTCAGGAATATAACAGTACATTGAAAATTTTAATTTTGTAATATTTATAATGAATGATGTAACAGTGTTACAATTAAAGTTGTTCAAGTAATTAAAACAAATTATAAACAAGCCAAAAATAAAATTTAAATAAATGATGTTTACTTCAAAACTTAATAGTTTTAAAGAGTAATTTAAAATTATAGTTCTCTTTTTTAAACATTTTTTAGCAATGGTTTACCTAAGAATTTAAATCAAACCATGATTGTATCAAACATATTTTGTTTATTAATTGATCCAAAATTAAAATACTTTAATTACTCAAAGCAATATTAACACATTTGTTTAAAACGAAAATTATCATAATTAAACTTAGTTTAAACTACAATACTTACACAGTTGATTCAGTTTTTATTGTAGAATTCATAATGTAGATATTTATAAATTAATGAATTTAAATATTGTATGAATGTACTATACACTGTTTTTGAAGCACATACTTCTCTAATTTTCACGATATTAAAAACATTTTGGTCGTAAAAATAAACAACTCTTTTGGCTAAAATGATAATCTAAAAAATGTTATCCAATCTAATATACTTATAAATTTCAAGGCCCACAATGAATCTATATAAGTCAATTAAGTTCTATACACTTGAAAAAAAATTTGTATATACATATCAATAGTAATGATAAGGCGCGCCTAACAACTTACTATAACTCTTCATTTCGTAAGCATTATTACACAATAGATAAGGTTTTATCTAAAGTAGTGATAGACAATTCCTAAAGAAACCGATTTTCTATATCTAGGAGGAAATTTTTAATGGGAGAAGAAATTTAAATTGTTTACAAGCAATCATGGATTGACGGGGGTCTAAGGGGTCTGGATCCCTCTCAAATATCGATACATTGTATAATAGAACACTCCCCAAGAAAAATGTTATAAATTTGCAACTAAACAAGTTACAACATAATAAAATGCAACTAATCAAAGGACTGACTTATAGATACCGTAGTACAATTATGAAACAGAACGGTACCACAGACTACAATCTGTATATAATGGTAGAAATTGCATGATTTCTGTGGTCGAAAAATGATAATAGATAAAAACGTTAATAACACGTCTTGATCATTCGACTAGAGTTTCTTATCAAAATAACATAAGTTACTGAGTTATAGCGCAGTCTATCTATAATCGTAATAGAAACAAAATAATTTAATATATGGCGCCTTTTATCACATGCCAACAAATAATTTAGTCAGGAGAGTTAATATGAAGAAAATAAAATACAATAAGAGACTAATTGGCCACAGATTACTGTAGGATTGTATAGATTGTCGTATAACCATCTCTAGTCTCTAGTCTCTCCCAGCCACTCCAATAAGGTCCACCTGGAAGAGATTTTAACTTTTTTCCCTTTTAAAATTCGCCTTTCTCTTTTTTCTCCGCCTCTTCGCTTCGGTGCCTCCTCGCGAGGCTTATCGTTTCGCGTCTTTTCCGACCGCCACTCGAATTTTTCGGCGCCCCCGTTTTTTTATTTTCACGATTTTCAGAATTCCGTAGAATGGAAAACGACGCCAAATAGAGGAGCGAGGCCTCCGCCGCGACGCGTTATCGCGTTTACCGCGTTCCCGCCTTTTCGTCATTATCAGCGCGTCTGACGCCGGTACGTCGTCGTCCGCATCAACGTCGTTTATTTTTCGATATTTCGTTATTATTATTAGTAGTAGTAATAATGACTGTATTCGTTAATTAATGTAATTTTGTAAATTTTCTACTTCTATTGCGATTATATTAATCGAAACTCGCGATTGGTAATTTTACAGCGATTACGATTAACGTAGTTTATTAATTGTCGATATTTTAACAGTCGTGGCGATTGGGTTTTGTGATTTTTAGATGGCGTTTACTCCGGAGTACTGCTTCGATGATGGCTCCACCTGTAGGCCGAGAGTGCTGGCTCTAACAATCTACAACGGATTTATTAAACGAGTAACGCGTTTTTATTCGTTAAAAAAACACAAAAAAAACCTGTGCGTTTGACGTTTTCACAACTATTGTAATTGATATAAATCCATAATCGTTGTAACGGCAGTATTAATTGATTTGATTTTATAATTTTTAGACGGCGTTTGTGGCCTCCTGAGGTGGTATGCTTCGATAACGACTCGGCCTGTTGGCCCTAAGTGCTGGGGCTCTGATCAACAACGCATTTATTACACGGGTAATTCATTTTCATTTGTTAAAAAGAATTTTATTGATATTGACATTTTTAAAATAGAGTTCATCTTTTTACATTTTAATCAATTTACTTTACATATTTTAATCATTAATTGGATTTGTATTTTATTTATTTGTACAATTTGTGCTACATTAGTCTACACCAGTGTTTCCCAACCTTTTTACCACTACGGCAATATTTTATAGGTCGCGAATCCCCTCAATCTTACGAAAACTAAGACCTTTTTTTGCTCATTAACAAGAATACACAAAATTTATCAAAAAATGTTAATTTTTATTATCTTACTTTACATTTTATTACTGTATTTAACTAATATATAATTATACTTTACTATACAAAATAATTTACTTAATGTGATTTTTGTGACTGCATTTCTTTATAGTATAAATTTTTCTTTAAAAACGTACTGCGTAGTAATCAAATGAATAACAATTGCATACTGAATCAATATCCATAACTCAGTATCAATGGGTACTCATAAAGTATAAAATTTATACTATAAATATATAAGCAACGATGTTTGTAATTGACATAATTATTATCGGTCGCGATAATATTATTTATAAATCTGATACCTACACACTTATGAATTTATAATAAAGTATAATATTATACGGTTCCTCAATAAGCCATTATTTTTTTTTACTATTTAAAAAAAAATATTAATTTCGAATAAAAATCGAAGAAAAAAATCTATGGGACCGCGGACCCCTGGTAGTCTATACAATCTCTTTCTCTATATGTATATACTTTTTTTTGTTTGCATGTACTACATTTATATTTGTGATCATCATGATTATTTCTTATTGAAATGTTTTATTGACAATTTCGTAACAATTATAATAATAATATTGTAAATATATTATATCATGGTGATGGCTGTATTAATTTAATTTGTTTTTTTAATTTTTAGACTGCTACACTGTTGTGCCAGGATATCTGAGCTGTAGATTGTTGCCAGTCATCGCTATTGGATTTCTGGCACAGGTAAAATTAATTTTCATTTGTCAAAAGAAATTTATTGTTATTCACATAAAAGTACAATTCATCTTAATATGTAATTATTAATTTACTAGCATATTTTAATCATTGCGTCAATTTGTATTTCATTTACCAGTGAAATTTGTACTACATCAGTCTATACAATCTCTATTTTTTTATTTTTATTTGCATGTACTAAATTTATATTTGTGGTAATAATAATAATGTTATAATTTTAAAATTTTAAAATTGTCTATATAATCATTGTAATGACCGTATTGATTAATTTGATTTTGTAATTTTTAGATAGTGTTTGTTGTGTCCGAAGGACTGCTTCAATAACGGTTTAGTCCGTTAGCCAAGAGCGCTGTCTCTAACTTATAACGGATTTATTACACAAGTAATTAATTTCCATATGTTAATTAAAATTATTTTATTTATTGGTGATCGCATTGTGTAATGTGTGTTGATTAAATATTTTTTATTCTTGTTATCATATTTATTCACACTCATGAACGTGTTTGTGGTCCTGTTGTAGTTTTTTTTTTTTTTTTGACGGTTGTACAATATAGCAATGACTGTATTAATTTATGTGAATTGTAATTTTCAGACTGCTGGTGGCTTGGGTGGTAACAACATTTTCACTTTTTTTTTTACCCACTGTGTGTTAATCTTGCGTGTCGTTCATTTTTGTTTAGCCGGTACTTATCCCTCACTGTTGGAAGGAAACCAAAAAGATACTGTATGAGTTTTGTAATTGGGACTCTTGAATTTTTTGTTTTTCTGATTTTACTCTTTCTTTCAGATCACATTTCATATATACTGCCATTATTTTGTTGTCCTCTCTGTGACATCTAACTGCTGAACACAGCTTGGAAAACACCACTGTTGGCCTTTGGAGTTCAGCGAGAAAACGACTACAGACTTTTCCATCGATCATACTTTATAGTTATTGTTAAATTGTTTAATTGGAATATTTTAACGTATTGATTGTTCTTAAGTGGAAAACATCAAACTTCATGTTTATAATTTTAATTGTTTTGCAAGTTACAGAATAAACTCGCCACGCTCAATTAATTATAATGTTACATTTTATTATATTTTTAATTAATTCGAGCTGTTGGTATCTCTAAAAGAAATACCACTAGAGTATAAAACTAGGATATTTTTTAAATCCCAACAATATATTAAATACTCCAGTATTTCTTTTATTTATCGGTTTGATAATACGGCTTTAATCATTTCATTTACATTGAGTCTGTAATTCTAGCAAGTAATTTAAGGTTTTTATATTATATTGTAAATAACAAAGTAGTTCAGTAGTGAGACAAATAAACTCTGTTCAATTTTTTTTTTTTTTTTTTTAAAACTAAAAAAAATTAAAAATTGGAGTTTAATTTGAATATATAATTTTTTAAATTATTTATTTTATGCGTAACTAGTAATTATAATTAAAGAAACACACAACACATGTGAATCTTTAAATTAATTTTTATGTGTCATACAATTAAAATAACACCGGCTTTATAAAATCGTATATGTTAAATGAATATTGTATATCAATGCATAATCAATTGAAAACCGTTTATTTAACTTTGGCACTGGACGTTTTATAACCATAATTTTTTTTATATTTGACTTGGACAATTTTTAGCATACTAATTATTTATAAGTGAAAAATATTAAAATTTAAATTAAACAATAATTCTTTAAAACTATTTTTAAAGTTAAATAATAACTCGCAATAATTCAGAAGTGTAATAAATTATTTGATATTTGTTTTTATGGAATGGTTTAATTATACCATTGAATTTCATATTTATACAAATACATTTTGTCTCATTGTTCCTTTAAATTCATTTTTTATTGTACAAAAAAAAACCTATTTTACACATGTTTGCGTTATTCAAATTATACATTTACAATTATATAAAAATATATTACTCCCCGATTACGATAATTTATAATATTTTTCACTTATGCTATTATAATGATCAATATATTTATTTACTTTTATTTCTATATGAAAAATAGAATCTCGCACAGAGCGTTTGAAGTATTATTAGCCAATCGTGAAATACGATAATGTGTATTTAATTACGAAAATAGGATTCAATGTTTTATTTTTCAATGACATGTAATTTTTTTTTATTAATATTTAATCTTATAACCCGATATGTTACACGATCAATCTTATTTATTTTTGTTTTTTGCCTACTCGATCACAAAGTTAAATTTCAAATATTTTACTTCGAAGAAAATGATTTTTTCTTTAAATTACATTTTTTTTTTTTTATAATATGATTTCAAGTATGTAATATTGTTATATCGGTTTTAACTTGATGCACGCTAATATTATCATACACAAAGATTCACTTACTTTATCAAACAGAGAATTAACATTTCATAACGTTATCCGACGCAATTATGCTTTTATATATATACTAGGGTGGTCCTCTGTTATAGGTGAAGCAAAAAAAAATTTCATTGTTCAGTATCAAGAACAATGAACAAGTTTAGATCTATAAATTAATAGCTGAACATTTTTTTGTTATTGAAATATAAGCAAAAAACTATAACAATACCCCATTTATCAATTTTTCAACCCTTTTGCGACACGGGAAGGGGTTGACCAATCACGACAAAACTTCACTAAAATGTTTTACTTATAGTAATAAATAAATTTAGGGGGTCCTGCAAACAAAATTTTTAACTTCAAATTTGTGGACCACCCTAATATATACATATGGTGGGAACAAATAAATAAACATGGATTGTATTTCACACTATTTATTTTAATAGTATACAAAAAAAATCATTGCCCACTCTCATTGCATTCTGAAACAAAAAACACTTATCGTATGTTGCAACATTACGAATTTATTGGTTTGGAGTTAGAGGCACAACTGCTCATTAACACATTTGAAAAACCAACGCTTAGTATATATTACAATTACCAAAACAGTTCTACCTCTAATTGTGCTACACCTATGCATCTCATACCTTGTTCCGGCGGCTTTCTACGTCAGGAGGAGGTGGTGGTCCCTCCTGCTGCTGTGGTGCCGTTTCCTCCTTAGCTTCTTTAAGAAGGCGTCGCAAATTCGCCACTTCTCGCCTCGCGATTTTCAAACGCTTTTTCATTGTTACTTAATTTTTTAACGTTTCAAAAATAAATACATTGAACACATGAAAGATAATTGAAGGTCATTTTACCTTTACTTCGGCAGTCCCGCCTAAGGTAGTGGTACGGGCTGTTGCATATGAAACACCCTGTGAAAATTAAAATTTCATTTCAATGTTACTTTTTAAACGGTACGCGTGCATAAATCTATAGTATACTTACTTTTGCTTTTTTAACACGCTTATATTAGTTTCACATGTATGTTTGTATATTGTTTGTATGTTGTAAGTTTGTAACTCCACGCGGCACGTGTTATTATGTCGCGTATCCCGTCGTCTATGACCTTGAGACTAGACCGTCGTAACGCATTCACCCCACCCCGCTCACCAGTCAGCGCCTACACTATTTTTTTCTGTATAATTTTGAGTAAACGCCGCGGTGCAAAGTCCAGCAAGTGCCGCACGGCCGACGACGTACCGCCGCTAATGATACCGTAGTATTCTTCCTGTTGTCAAAGTGGCAACGTCAATAAACCGATCTCCACTCGCGCACCGTCGCCATCAACGCTGCTAACCTTTTGACGCCCGAGGACCACGCCGGACATAGCGTCGTCAACGCCAACGAAAGTGCCACGATATTATGCGAAGATTATATATTCTTACCATCGCCGCTAATATTAATATATATATACATATATATATTATTATTTATATATACGTATATGTTAATATTCATTTATATATCCCTACAGCCGACGCCGCTGCCGCCATATATGCCTCGCGCCCCGCCCGCCAACAAAACACAGCTATACCTCGTGCATGATACGTTTACGTACTTAAGTCGCTTTACATGTATATATATATATATATATATATATAGATGTATATTAGGGTGGTCCAATTTTTTTTTTTTTGGAATTTAGTTTCTCCACAAGTTTGTTTTTGTTTCAGACCATCTAACTTGCACTTATAAAAAATTTCAGCATAATTGAATAATTTTTAGGGGTCGCTAGGATTTATCACTTTTATGCATAAAGTTATAGTAAATAAATAAAAACTATTTTCTTGAAAATTTATTCAACTTTTAAAAATAAAACAAAACATTATGCTACAATATTATATATATATATTTGTTAAAATCTATGTTTCTTAGTTTTTAATTACCTAGAGTCATTTTCATAATGCTAGATTTTGATGCAGAAGGATATCGTTTTCTATGGAGATCTACTAATCGGAGAAGATATTGTTTTTGCTCCTCATTTTTCGTTATGTTATTGTTGAACTTTTGAATCAGTGCAATCCCACGCTCTGCGCAATCATTAACAACTTTCATTTGGCGAACTTTTTCTAGCATTTCAATATAGACCAAATCTGTCGGCCACTCTGATGGATCTTTCGCCAAAAATGAAGCTGCTTTTTCTCGACCGTTATTAATTAACAAATCAAATAAAACCGTTGTGCGTTGTGTGATAAACGACTCCAGTGGATCCTGGTGATTGAACGTTTTGCCATCAAGTCTTTTCAATGCATTTCCCTTGGAAGGTCGTTGAAGATTTTTTACCATTTCTCTTTTAGACTCAGTACTGACACGAGAATCAAAAAAAGAAAGTCCAACTAAATGTTCTGAAAAATACCAAAGGTGACGAAAAAATGCTTTAGATGCGGCAATACTTATCTTCCGATTAGGGTAATCTTTTATCAGTCCAATCAAATCGGCATCATTAAGGGGAGCTCTTTCGGCTATTGGGGCTTCATTCCAGTAACGACAATACAGTAGACTTACAAATAGACTTATTTCCGTGACACCTTTTTTCTCTGCTGCAGTGAGTTCGAACTGATCTTGAAACATGTATATTTTTAGGCAATAGATTGCCTTTGCCATCCAACGGGCTTGATGAAAGGCTCCTGGCGTTCGAAATCTAACTTTACTTTCTTCTGACTTTCCGAGAAAAATTCTGCACAAGTTTATTATTTCAAGGTAGTCGTCTCTTGGCTGTTGCGTTTCAATAGCATCAATATAGTAAGAACGCATGTCTTGACGGAGTTGAAGCAGGTTGTCATGGTTAAATAAATTTTCATCACCAACTTTAAAATTTTATTTATCTATTCCCAGCCATTGTTTTTGAAAACGTTTGAAAAGATTGACATGTGGACCCCCACTTGGTCCAAACACTTCCTTAAAGACGGTAGAAAGCAAAACTTCAAAAATGTGATGTCTACAAGCAATCCAGACAAGCTCTTTATCAGATGCTATAGCCTTTTCGATTAAAGAGCATGCGCCCAAATTCAACCCCGTGTTAGAAGATGTAGTATCAAAGCAGAGTCCTCGCACGTAGGCCTTTAACTTCCACTCTTCAAGAACATTGAGACAAGCATCAGCCTGTTCTTTGCCCGTGCCTCTATCAATCTTTGGAACTGCTAAAAGCTTTTCTAAACCACCGCCAGTGACAAGCACAGCCACTCGATCGACTTTTTGCGTCCCTCCAACAATGTCAGGCAGCAGTTTACCATCCCAATGCAAAACTAGAGGATGCTCGAAAGAAGATGTTGTTTTGTCAGTTTCCACAACAGTTTTGCGAATTTGATTTCTTTTACGACGTATTGTACTACGTGATAAAGAGATATCTGCTATTGGGGTTCCTAAAGCCTGAGCTATTGATCCAACGACAAACATTGCATTCCGATCAGACAAGTTTACACGGTCAATAGATGCTACAACATCCTCAGTAAATACACTTTTAATAGTGGTGGGTTTTTTTATATTTGTTGAAGTAGAAGGAACTTGAAACTCATCACCCTATGAACAGTTTGAGCTGCTTTTACAAGAATCCATTATTTCGGAATCGGATGCTATTTCTAAGCTCATTAGCGTTTTTTCTTGATTATGTTGTCTTCTAGTTTCAGCTTCTACTTCTCTTTTTCGTTTTCTAATTTCTTTTTTTTCTTGCAGCTTGTCTACACCTGCCATACTGCAGCTCATTCTGTCTTCTCTCTGCATTATTAAAAATGTTTTGTCTTCTTCATTTTTCATTATTTTTAATGCATCCTTAACAGCTATGTCAAAAATATCAACTAAGTCTCCTTTAAATACCAATTCTTTCATACGGCAACTATCAAGATTTGTTTTTCTGTTCTTTTTTAAAAGATAGTATTCATCCACCAGTTTACTTAGTTTTCTTTCAACTGAGTCAATTCTTTGAGTAGGTATCCTTGCTTTTTCCCAAACTTCCAAAACGGATTCCGCTGTAGACCTTATACTTTTTTTAAAAGTTTGTTTTTTTTCTAAGTGGTGAAAGTGAAAAAATCTTAGTACATCCTCTTTTGACGGAAGTCTAGCAAATGAAAATGTTTCTGTAGGTTTTCCAATCAACCACACGGTAGCTGATGTTCTTGTTGATTTTAAATTGCTGGTGGAAGCCATTATATTATTTAAGACAAAATCTAATATAATATTTTGTAATAACTATAGTTAAAAATTTAATAGGTAATTCACAAAAATAATTTTGTTTTGATTATCAAACAAAACTTTAGAATAGTTAAAAAAATGTCAATAGCTTCAACGGACACCAAAGTGTTAAATATTTCAAATGTGATAATAAAAAAGTACAATCATTAATATATGTATTTTAAATTAATTAATAACCGCAGGTAACGTTTCAAATACTCACGTGTTTATAACAAGCGATGTTGACTCAACAACAGTTCAAAATAAAATGTCGATAAATGGTTTGAAATGTTAACTCATGTCGCACCATTTCAGTTTTAACTGGACAACCAATAATGTAAATAAAATAAGATAGTAAAGGAAAATACAATTCATTTTTGACGGACAATGTAAAATACTCATGGTTATTATGCACAGCTATTATCTGTTCGTTATCGGCGGTTAATGATTACGCTAGAATAAAAACCATTGATAAATTCCTATTACTTCTTACTTACAAATCCTAGCGACCTCTAAATATGTTTAGAATGGGCTAGTTTATGGCGTGAACATTTATTTTTGACTAAGAAACAAAAATATGGTTGTGGAGCTCAGAAAAAAAAACTTTTTTTTTTTACCCATAAGAATTGGACCACCCTAATATATATATATATATATATATTCTAATTACTATTAAAACTTATATATTAATACGCTTTATTCTCATTAAGAGATATATAGGGTATTTATTCCGATTACAAAGGATGATTCCCGTATCGTCATTTTACGTCACTACCTCCACGTTGCGCGCCTGCTGCTTTCCTTGGATGTGGTAGCCGTTTCTCAGACTCCCACTCCGGAATCGAACCCTGATTCCCCTTTACCCGTTACAACCATGATATTGATAGTAACTACTATCATAACATGTAACTAAAAAGTGAAAAATAAATATAGTTTAAAAAAACTAAAAAACACGCTTTTAAAGAACATCGAACTAAAAAGTTAAAAATAATTTTTAAAATAAGCGTAAAACAATAATACTAGTATTTTTTGTTCATAATTATTTTAAACTTATTTTAAAAATTATTTTTAACTTTTTAGTTCAATGTGCTTTAAAAGCGTGTTTTTTTAGTTTTTTTAAACTATATTTATTATTGCTCGCCTTCGGTCGGTCCGATGAGACGACGGCTGCCCGTAATGATTATTGTTTATTGTCGGTTTTATAAATATTTGTTTCATTATGACTCGACAAATACTACTAAATGATTTTTCCAATCGCAGGGTAATCCTTTACCACTTCCAGGTCGGACTTTGTTACTTTATAATCTCCGAGAGTCAGTATTTGAACCAATTTCAAACAAATCCGGCCGCCGATTTTTGTGTGGCGCGATTAAAAAGCGCTATTTACTTATTTTGCTGAACTTCCGGACCCTAAGACACTCCCCGGGATCCACGTACCATTTACATCGTACTAAAATCTGTTTCATTTTTTACGTAAAACGCGAATGCCTAACCACCGCAAATGAGTTTTTTTTGCGCGCGACCCAAAATTCACGGTAACACGGCCGCTGGAGTTTTTTGTCACGCGCACAAGTTGGACTTTGAACCGTGCGACTTTCTACGTGGTCCGCGTTTCGGTCGTTCTATCGATATTATTTGCATCAATGCGCTCGCGTTACGTAATCGACCTGTTGATCACAATCAATTGACACATTGTCATCGTTTCATCTGATCTCGATTTATAAAAATTGATTATTATCATAAGTTTTTTTATAATAAATACATAATTTATATATAAATAGAATAATAATAATTCATATGTAATAATTTATAAATAGTTTTTTTTATAATCATACCCGGTTTTTGACCACAGAATTTATTTTATCTAACACATGGCAAACCGGCGTGTTTTGTGCTTCACCACCGTCGCCGACAGTTTACACAAGTATGTACACGTTAGTTAATTGTTTTCGATTCGACGTCTCCTTCAGTCTGATGGACATTTGATTGGCTACAGTGTGTTGGTACTGTGCTCAACCGGAACGCCGTACCGTCTGTAGTAAGTAATAATCATAATAGTTAACAGTAATCGCTACAATTGTCTTCGATTTTCCCTTTAAGGTCAATGTCACGGAGCAATATAATGAGGCCGACGTAATAAATTTTTATAATTAATTTCATTAAGAATCGTAGTAACGGTTACGGAATGCGAGACGGTATTAATTCGTTGACTTTTTCAAATACTTCTTGCAACGCGTATATATGTATGTATACGTTGTAAGTATCGCGTACACAACACGTCAGGTCCCGTAGCAGAGTTGTCCTGAATTGTAACAATTGAAGTTGGCACCGTGTAGATTGAAATTGTGTCGCGTGGTGGACATTGATGTTGGCGATGCTGGACCGTTCGGAGGAAATGTCGCCGCTGGCGGTGTTGGTGCCAGTGGAAACGATTTGGTGAACATTTTACGCATAATAATAATAATAAATTTACTGTATATTATTGTTTTTTTATGTACGCAAACAATTCTGTAGGCTGAAGTACCCGTTGGAGCCATCCGGGCCGTGTGCGCCTATCGCTCCGTCTCCGGAGTGTCGGAAAGGGTCCCGGGTTCTCTGCCGCCCGCGGACCTGCTGGCCGTCGAACGCGCCAACGGACACGAGCTCCGGAAAAGCACTGTGTTCAACTGGCGCCGACGTGCGATCACTGTCGGGATCGGCCGGGAGAAGCGGATAATGCATTGCATACGCTTTTCCGGTGCGAGGCGTGGGCCAGCGAGCGGGAAGAGTTGGAGTCCAGCTCGGGGTCCGCGTTCGGCGTCGAGTCCATGGTGGACCTGATGCTGAGAAGCCATGAGGGGTGGTCTCTGGTTCAGGCATTCGCCGAATCGGTGATGAGCCAAAAAGAGGAGGCCGAACGCCTGAGGCAGAGACTGCCAAGGGTAGGATGACCTGCGGCGCTACTGGCGACGTAGGTATTTTATGTGTGTTTTATGTATTGTGTTGTGAATTATTTGGCCAACCCACGCGAAGTCCTGCCCCCACCTCCACGCGGTGCAACCTGGGCAACGGATCCCACTTAGGGATCCGGCTAACGGGGTAGGCAACACCACGTTGTGATTTATAGACGGCGTGGGCCGCCCTAAAGTAATACCTAATGGCAGTTCCAGGGCGGCCCACAATCATGTTGGCAGTAGTAAAAAAAAAAAAAAAGGGTTTACTGTGTACGATGGGGCTGCACTTTTTTCCGTAATCACTTGCTCCCGACCCCACCATCCTTTGCTAGTAAATACCTATGTTAATATTATGTAAGTGACTTTTTATATATTTTATATTTTAGATGAATTTAAATATGAATTTATACATTTGAAAATCATATCATACAAAAAAAAAACATATTAATAAGATGAATGGTAATCTTTCTTTTTTTTATGGTTAGAAATCTATCATTGAAATTTATTGTTATTTTTTATTATTAGTCATATGGGCTAACCGCTTTAGTAGGAACCGGGTGGCGAACAAAATCCTTATGTACCAACCAATAGCTCTAGCTCCCAAGTTTTTATTTTATTATTTAATAGAGTTCATGTAAAATATAATTAAAATAATTATGCTTATTTATATTCGTGTTAAAAACATTAAATAATATGTTATTGTGCTCATAGTTGTTAAAAAAGTACCCATCATTTTGCTTGGTATCAAATATCTTTTAATTAAAATTTAAAATACAAGAGGTGAGATAATGTATAGAAAATATTTTATTTTTAACAATAAGGTAAATTATCTTAATCTTCTTCTACGACCTCTTCTAGCCATTTGTCGCGGATACTCTACTCGTGGGACATTAACTGTCAATTCTAAAAATAGTTATAACAATAAATATAAGTTAATAAATGTTCAAATATACTTACTTTCTTGTTGTACTTTTTCTCGATGTTCTTTTATTGCATTCCCAAGATGATCACAAATATTATTAATAAAGTTATCCAGAGCTAGACAAAGAGTTTTGGTTTCAACTGAAGTTCGACAAAGAGGACACACATTATTTCCTCTCAACCAAGTATTTAAACAAACTTCACAAAATGTATGGCTGCAATTAATTGTACACGCCTAAAAAAACAAATTTACATATTAAATTTTATATAAAATATTCATTTTCACAATTTGTGACTAAATTTTATTTATTTCCCAATGATAATGAGATATTTAAAATCATTTTTTAATTTAATTTATGGATACGTAAAATTCAAGTTTTCTTGAACTAACAATTTGTGATAAAATATGTTTTATTTAAACTTCAAACCCAAATTCTAAAATAAAATAATGTTGTTGGTATAATTATGAAGTATGTGATTTTTTTTTCAGTCTCTTAAAAGCTAATTTATCAAAAACAAAATTTAAAAACTCATTTAAATTTTGGATAAAAATAGTTACTAAATTATAAAATAATAATATATAGACAATGACATAGTAATATTTTTCATTTTACTTAAATTGCATTTTATTTTCATAAACAAATTTACTTTAAAATGTCACACTTCATGGTAAAGTAATGTAAATGTAAGTAAATGAAGTAATTGTAAAATCGTTTTTAGCTTCGATGCGAAGCTGAGAAGGTATTAATTTTACTATGATGTGTTTTTTTTTTTTTATTTTTTTATTTTTTTTTTTGTGTCTGTGAACGCTCAATCTCAGCTCTCGCTGGACCGATTTTGATGAACAATATGTCAAAAGATCACAAATCGTATCTAGTCGAAGACATTACCCTCAAAAATTGAAAAAAATTCCCTCGTTCCCCGTAAACGGGGGAAATCCCCCAAAAAATTACAAATTTAAAAATCGCTAATTTTCGATATTTTTTCAATTTTTTTTACTTAAAATTGCCATAACTTTTTTAAAAATGACCGAATCAATATAATTTTTTTTTTTATAGATACCTTAGATAATTACCTATCATTTTATATATTTTTGTGAACATTTGACCCTTTAACAGCCCAAAGGATGGGGTTTCAAAATGGTAACTTTTTTACAAAAAAATAACTTTTTCAACTTAACTTTTGAAAATGTTCCGGAAAGACTGACACTTTTATATATATCTTAAATTAAAGCTTATGTAATATACTTTACTTAAAAAAAAAAAAATTTGACCTCTGGACTTGTCTTCATGGTGAAAATGACTACCGTATGCAAAAATATGCTATTTTTGTGAAAAAATTCTTGATATTATATTTTACATTTTTTAACATTATGTTGCTATAACTTTTTAAAAAATGCATGAATCAACTTTATTCTTTAATGATAAATACTTTATATATACTTCTTTCATTCGACATACTTTTTTTTAAAATCGGACCATTTCCCTTTATACAGGGGGGGTGCAAACCTTTTAAAATGCGTATAGAAAGTAGAACTTTTTCAACTTAACTTTTGAAAATGTTCCGGAAAGACTGACACTTTTATATATATCTTAAATTAAAGCTTATGTAATATACTTTAATTTGAAAAAAA